TCAGAATCATGGGTAGTGACCTGACCAGTATTTGCTCTCTTAACTCACGTGGGTCTCATTCACCCAGTAGCTACTTATATCTAAAACAAAACAAAACATTATTTTCCCCCAAACAGCCGTCATCTGCGCCATTTATCCCATTCTTAAAATCGCCTGCCCTTGCCTCAGAGAACGTTCTCTCCCACCACTAGGTTCTCATTCAGGATAAATCAAGCTGGTTCTATAAATCCTCACTCACAGCAAATTAGAAGAAAACAATCAGAAGAAATGTGGCTGCTGAAAGGCAGGCACACTGACATTAGGAAGAACTGTCGATAGTCTGAATGGAGAGAAGGAAGGAAGAGAGGAACCGTAAATGCAAACACACCCAAGAACTGAAATAGTATTTTAGGGCCACATTCCTCATTATCGCAGCCCCCAAATGCTGCGATACAAACAAGTTACACGAGTGATGTTTGTATTGCGTTGTAAAGACGAGGCTGAATGGCACTCCCTGTACTCGAGGAAAGAGCGGAGAATGTAATGCATTTTTTAAATACTTCCATTAAAAATGACTCACGTCAGTGCATAAAGGAGTCAGCTTCGGTTACCTGGAAAATTCGCTTCCATGAAATAACTCATTTACTTTCTCCCTCCGGTATCACTGAATGTGAGTAGGTTGTAAGAGCAGCACACTCACAGGTGAATAGCTGTCATCTTACTATCTCCATGGAGAGGAAACAGAAAAGAAGAATTTTTTATTTTCCCCAAAGACCGTCCAAATATGTCGCTGGAAGTGGGGCCAGGCGTGTAAGGCACTGTCGTGGGTGACGATGGCATCCTGAGAGGGAAGGCCACCCTCCTCAGAACACAAGAGCCTGTACTGTCCCCTCGGCCACACCCGCCTTTGCAATTGTCACATTTCCCGTGGTTTTACATTAATGATTCCCAGTGGGTGCTGGCCCAGGGCCCCTCCTTCTGTCCCTCAGTAAAGGAAAAGAAATTATCCTTGGGACACCCCTGTTTCACAGTTGTTTTCCAAACACATCGGCCACTCCCCAGCCCACTTTGCCTGCCTGTGCTGGGACCTGCCCCCCCTTTTCCCTGGAACCACTTTGCGGCTGTGACCTGTGAGTCCCTCCTGCTTCTAAAACTGCAGTCACTCAGTGTAGGTTTCCATGTGTGCGACGCTGTCAATCAAGTGTCATATTTTTAGCAAATTCATATAAATTAATGTTTGTTTTATAAAAAAACCATTATCTGCTACTGAAAATAAATTCAGCGTAACTCTTTATATCTAAAGCTAAAGAATAAATACACAGTCAGATGCTCAGCGCTTTGCATGTCAATAGCAATCCTCAGAATGTATGTTTGCATAGCACTTTTCTTTGAGATGTTTACAATACTTCACAGTCCTGATCCTGAAAAAAGTCCCAGCTTCCCCCAGAGGTGAGGCAGGTGTCCCCTGGGAGTGTCCTGTTTCTGGGAATCCCGCATATTTGTCCACATTGCAAAGGACACTGGAGATCAGGAGGTCTCCAGCTGCAGATCCATCTACAGATCAGAAATGCTCGGAGGTCTTCACATGCACATTTGGAATCCTGGTAATTTTTCAAAACTTTCACCCTACTTTCATAAGAAAGGATTGCTCTTGGTTTGTTTTTAAGTGAAAATGAGCCTAAAGACCAAACCTTGCTTCAAAAAGGCTTCCAGGAAAATGGCAATGATGGGAATATTTAAACATGGAAATCGGCAAATGCTACCAGGGACCACGCCCCAATCAGTTTTAAACATTTACTGGTATTCTATTACCTAAAACCTTACCTTTTAAAAATACCTATCGTTTTAGGTATTAACCATATTTGTGTATTTTGAGCTGCATTTTTCCCCTTTACTATGTCTATTTACCTTTTATATTTCAGAGATTCCTCATAGTTTCTGATCCACAGAAGCTTACAGTTACTATGCTCAAATGTGATAATGAGTTTATTAAGTCACTGAGACGGCAAAGGGGCCACATGCTAAACCCAACTGACAGCTCAGGGGAGGCCTGCATGGCGGCCTTACAAACTCAGAGACCTAAAGGAAGCCCCCAGGATGGTTTGAAATGAAAACTTCCTAACTAAAAGCCAGTCATAGCGGGGGGTCACGTCCTAGGCCAGTGTCCTCTTTGACAAAGGTCAGCCTTTACCCTAACTGGGCCTGTCTATTGTCTTTTTGCATCNGTCTAACTAAAAGCCAGTCATAGCGGGAGGTCATGTCCTAGGCCAGTGTCCTCCTTGACAAAGGTCAGCATTTACCCTAACTGGGCCTGTCTATTGTCTTTTTGCATCGAAGATAACATACCTGTGGAATGTCCGAGTAATTTTCCTTTTCCCGGACCCCTGAGGACACAACCTCCTGCCGGATCAGGAGACCCCAGAGCCCCACGTTAATTCTCCCTCATACGTCTCTATGAGCTGCGTTCATTGTCAATTCCCTGTACCCACCGACGTAAAAGAAGAATGTGTCTCTCTGTTTTACCCCTTCTCCGGCCTCCCTAATCTACACCAATGGATTTCATGTAACCCCTTTGATTTGATGTATAAAATAAGGGGTAAAGCTGCCATTTTCCAGAGCATTTTCTCAATCCATTGAGATTTTGCTTCCCCACAACTGTCATCAGTTTGGTTAAAATAAATTCACAAATAGAATTTCTCTGCAGGTTTGGATGTTTTTTATGTTGCCAGTCTTTAGTCTTTACCTCTTTTCTCTCTTAAAATTTTAATTTTAAGTTCTTTATGTTTTAATTTACCTTTAGCCTTTACCTCTTTTCTATAATTTCTAGGGACTGGAGATGTGTGCTTGGTCTGTCTTTTTAAACCACATAAATAATGTGTTACTATTATTTTTAATCTTTAATAATCTGATCATTAAAATACTCTTTTTCTAAATAAAACTTTGTTTATTCATTTCTGTTATGTAGATCCCCAAACTTGAACAACAGGTTTCAACTGTTTCATTAGCATTTTGGGAACACAGATTTCCAGTGAGCTAAATTCTCTGAAGCAATCCAGCTGGAATGTCAAAGGAAATGTTGCTGAACTGACCAGCACGCTGTTCCAAAAATGCTGTTGAATGTTCAAGTTTTATTGGCTGCTCTTCTAAACGTTTAAAACAGCTTTCCTAAGTCAGCGTCAGGTGAGGAGCAGCCTCTCAAATAAATATTAGTTGTCAC